ATTAATTTATTTTTTAAGATAAAAATATTATAATAATTATATAATTATTACTTAATTTTTTAAGGATATAAGATAAATAATTTTTTTTAATAAAAATAAAAAATAAAAAATTAAGAGAGAAAGACAACATACTCAATAATATTTTCACTTATAAAATAAAACAGAATGTTAGCCCTACAGCCATCACGCGTGAAGAACGACGAAAGGTTTGGTTATGGAAGTAAAAAAATTCTGTAAAAAATTCTCAAAAGATGAATGGTCGAACGTACTTTCCACTGTTGAATAGGCGGTGGCAATTTCCTAGAAAGGCCCACCAATACCTATCATTCTGAAAAATCATAAAGGCACACCTTCTCCCCCAAAAGGAAGTCATCGATAATATCAATACCAGCCTCCAGATCTTCCAATTCCGACTCAGCCATCTGGTTTTCTAGGACGTTTGGGAGAATAGGTGCAGCTTCAGCCATCCAGCCGATTCCCTAACCCACAAAGATTGCTACTACTTGTTCAAAAAAAAAAAAACCCTGTATCATGAAATTACAGAAATGACCTTCAGAATCTCTCATATACCCTTCATCGTGCTCTGCCATGGTTTCTGTTGGACGACTGATCCACCTACCGTGGGACTAGATTGGGAGCTCTGGTTGGGCGGCAGACTTGTTATTTGGAGCCTGCGGCTGTGAGCGTTGACCTATTTTGCCTAGAGGTTAGTCTCTGCTCTTGTATTCCTTATGAAGTTATTGATTTTTTTTTTTGTTTATTTTTCAATGAAGTTAAAATTAAGATCTATTCCTATTGATTATATTCTATTGTTTTTCATTTTTTCTCTTAATTCCAAAAGTTAGTGATAGGAGAGAAGCTGTTCTGTTCCTTAAATTCTATAAAGTGATTATCAAAGACATGAAGAGTTAAAAAGAAATTAGTTTTGATTTGGAGACACGAAGACTTAAAAGAAATCAGTTAAGTTGCTGTTGAGAAAAGAAAAAGAAAAGTCATTCTTTAGTCGAGGAGGATGAGTGGGGATGCTGTTGACGCCTGGAAAAGATGCGCGGAGGCGTTTCAACTTGGGAATCCGAGACTTGCAAATGCAGTGATGAGAATTGTTCTTGATCTTGCTGAAGAGGAAACCACTCCTAGAACTAGAAGATTGATCCTATATTTTGCACAAGCTCTCGCTTGCCGAGCCTATGGACTTCATCCTAAATGTTTTTCATTCCCATCACCTGCCTGGAAGGATTGGATGTGTAGATGCTATGACCTTTTTTCTACTGTAGGTTGGTATATTTCAGATGTCGTTGAGGGAAAATGCAAAGTTCATGTTATTGAACTTGTCAAGGACATGGATGGTTATGAGCAATGGGCATCCATTTTTAGGCAGACTGATAAATGGGGTGAACTGACACATTTAAGGTTAAGTTTCCTTGTACTAGAAAACGTTGAATTTTCGAAAGAAAGTGAGGAGGAACTTATTAGGATCACTAACGATTTGCACATTGAGCTGGAATATAGGATTATTGCTGTTAACAGTTTCACTGACATTGATGTGTCTTTGCTGGAGATGCGGGATGGTGAGTTTGTGATTGTGAATTGCATGTTTGTATTCAGCAAAATGTTATCGGAGGCATTAGCTCTGGAGAAGCTGTTATCAAGGGTGAGGGATGTCATGAGAGTGGATATTATGAGTTGTAGAGCATGATGCTAACCACCATCAGTCTGATTTTTTATTGCGGTTTGATGAATCACTTAGATATTATTCTTCTCTATTCGAAGATTATATTTTCAGTAAAAGCGAGGTGTATTATAGATATCAAATATGGAACATAGTGGCGTATGAGGGTAGAAACAGGGTGGAGCGGCACCAGACGTGGGCTCAATGGAAATCCTTGCTTACTCATTATGGATTTTGTATTTTTAAGTTGTTTACCAAATGGGAAAATGGAGAATATGAAGAGTGGATAGAAGATGGTATCTTGGTGATCACAAGTGCCAAAACAGAGAAGCGGCCAGTATTTTTCGTTTCTGCTTGGAAAATATTAACATCCCCCTCCAAATCATCGGACTCTAATGAAGGTTAGTATCTTCTACAGCATTAAACTGGCCCCTTAATACTAACCAAAAATATTTACTTATTTTTGATTCCACAAGGTTTATATCACACATTATTCACTGCTGTATGCGCTTTGAACTTGTAATGCAGAACATTGTTTTAGATACTTTGAAAAAAAAGTTTGTTTTGAGACCAAGCATTATAGTTGATGTATTTGGAGTCAATAAAAAGTTTTCAGACTTAAATAAATAAAATAATAAATAAATTAATCAATGTCTTTTAATTTC